ACATTAGGGACTGGCCATTGGAAGTACTCAGAAGTGATGTGTGCAGTCTCTGGGTTATGCATTTCAGAGAATGAAGGTGCCCTCTACTTCCACTCTTCTTGTTGACTGGAATGTAGTCATGATGGCTAGAGCTTCAGCAGCTCTATGGGATCATGAGGTAGAATATGAGGACAGAAAATAGCAAAGCATCAAGGTAGAAGGAGCCTCATTCTCCTGTAGCTTCCTTGCTGTCCCTGGACAACATCCACTTGAAGAACTTCATGAGTATACGGTGTCTTCATTTCTCATTTAAGCCATTTGTTATTTTGGAGACATAGATGATTTCTTTACTAATACAGAGGGCTTCCGGGTTGCAGCCCAGGGTCTGAACTTGGAAAGATCTAAGTGTGGGCCTTTTCCAAACTTCAGCCTCTTCATGTATAAGTAAAATAGTGAATATAAAATATTTCCATGGACAGCACACGTGGCAGCTGTTACTATTTCTACCCTGCCTTTTCTACATTTATTGACCTAAAGTCAGGAGAGGAAAGTCTCAAATGTTCTGATATTTCAGGGGCTAGAGTTACACAAAGCAGACACCCTCTAACTGCTTGGAGAAGTTCGGAACTGCAATCTTTGGAACTGCAAGAAAGTTCACACGCAACCCCGTTCAGTGTCCCACGACAGTGACAAAGTTTTCAGCAGAAGTTGAACTTCATACAGGACTAAGCAAAAAAGTCCCGGCAGTGCACCATGAGGCGGTCCTCTCTCCAGCAGGCTGATGCTCAGAATAATCATCTCCCTGTGAAAAGGCAATCCTCAAGAGGAATTTTTAGATCATGCAGCACGTTTTAGAGCTGTTTGCCTCCGAATGCAAAACGCGATCCTGGCACAGCCTGGAAGTGGGGCTTCAGGGGAGGCTCATGGGAATGTTTCTATCGCTGAGTGTTTCTCTATTTCTCAATTCCTGGAAATGCCCCACAAATGTGATCAAATCGCTGCCCCTGTGTGTGCCAGCTTCCATTTGCCTCTTTGCTCAAACACGACTCCAGGAGGTGGCTTCAGGCTTCCCTCCACTCAGCCATGCCGGGCTCTGACACTGGGACTTCCGCAGTAACACAGAAGTGGGTGTTGAGTGCCTACCGTGTGCCAGGTGCTGTGCCGGACACTGAGGCTACCACTGGAAGCAAGACAGACACAGAGCACAAGGGCTACAGACAGGCAAGGCAGAGTGGTCATTCTGAGTGCCTGAGGCTCCCAGGAGCAAGTCCAGGGGCCAGCAGCACCCACAGGAGGGACTCCTAACCTTCTAGGGGCCAGAGAAGGCTTTTCCAAGGAAGCGGTGTCTACATCGAGGCCAAAAGGACAAGGAGGGATAGTCCAGAGAAAAATAGGTGAGGGCACAGAGGGGCCCTCTAGGCTGAGTGTATCAATTAGCTGGAACTGCGTGACAGACAACCCCAAGACTTTGTAGCTTAAAACGATAAACCACGTGTTCATGATCCTGTTGATCTGAATTCAGCGAAGACTCGTTCAAGCATCTGTGGTGAACTGAGGGGCTGACTGGGGACTGGCTGGTTGGCCCTCTGGCAGCTGGACGACAGGAGTGACCAGCCATGGGCATCTCAGCACCTCCAGCAGGCTAGCTAGGGCTCATTCGTATGGCAGTGGGACTGGTCAAAACAAGTCAGAGGTAACCGGGCTCGGTGGCTCAGCCTGTAATCCCGCGCCTTGGGAGGCTGAGGTGAGTGGAT